TGTGTGTGTGTGTATGTAAAGTGGGAAGTCCTACACATCCAGCTCGTCAGATGACGATGGAGGGTGCCCTTTGACCCGATGATATGTAACTTTTTTGGGCAACCCATGCCGGCCTAAACCTCGAGATTCCCGCCCTCAGTTCCGGTTTGAATGGGCTAAACTCTCGTTTGAAGGTATGAAGACCAAGATGGTGTGGCCTTTTGTGTGGTTGCAGTCTTCTTTTGTTGTATAAAAGTTGTTTTACCTGCAAAAGCCTTAAGCTAACACCTAATGTGGAATACTGGCCAGCTCTGTCCTACACGATATACATACGCAACATAAGCAAAAGTTTCGATATGGATGGAGCTAGAAAGGTTTGGTCAATTCACTTGAAGCCTGTTCGGTTGAGTTGCTGGGCTTAAAATGGACAGACGAGAGCTTAGAGGTTGTTTGACCTTGTTTTCGCAACATGGTCATATTCGTATGAAGACTTATGTGCGTTTCTCTAAGTCTTCCTACCAACGTGACCAAGTTGCGAAAACAAGGAAAAATAATAAAATTAGATTCTTTGTAAAGGAGGAAAAACTAGATGATGGCGGACGAGCTAGAGGATGTAGTTTTACAACTGGTAAGATACAGGCATAATAAGCAACTTAGAAATTCGGGGATAAGAATCAAGACAGATAAGAGAGGCTATTGAAATTAATAGCTTATGAAATACGTTAAATGCGAGAAAAGGTGGTAGAATTTTGTGTAAGATCTATTTATAGAAGTTGTTTGACCTCGTTTTCGCAACCTGGTCATTTTGGTAGGACGATTTAGAGGAACGCAACTTGTCCGGAGTCCATTGTCTGCATAATCATTTCCAGAGTAGGACCGTGGAAGTGGTACATTCCCAGACGTTTCGCCGGCATCGTCAGTCAGTTTTGCCATTCAACGACGAAACGTCTGGGAATGTACCACCTACATGGTCCGACTTTGGAAATGAGTATGCATACAGCAGACTCCGAACAAGGTGGGTTCCTCTAAGTTGCGAAAACAAGGTCAAACAACTTCTATAAATAGATCTTACACAAAATTCTACCACCTTTTCTCGCATTTAACGTATTTCATAAGCTATTAATTTCAATAGCCTCTCTTATCTGTCTTGATTCTTATCCCCGAATTTCTAAGTTGCTTATTATGCCTGTATCTTACCAGTTGTAAAACTACATCCTCTAGCTCGTCCGCCATCATCTAGTTTTTCCTCCTTTACAAAGAATCTAATTTTATTATTTTTCCTTGTTTTCGCAACTTGGTCACGTTGGTAGGAAGACTTAGAGAAACGCACATAAGTCTTCATACGAATATGACCATGTTGCGAAAACAAGGTCAAACAACCTCTAAGCTCTCGTCTGTCCATTTTAAGCCCAGCAACTCAACCGAACAGGCTTCAAGTGAATTGACCAAACCTTTCTAGCTCCATCCACATCGAACCTTTTGCTCATGTTGCGTATGTTGCTTGAGGCTTTTGCAAAAATGAGTCCCAGTTCTGACGACGTCCGTCGTGTGTCGAACGAAAACTCAGCCCATCTTGGCCCGAAACGATGCAGGACGTCTCGTGGACTGCGTCGGTACAACTGGATTCAACCGGCCTCTTCTGGGCAGACCGACCGACTAATCTCTTCCTCAGACACTTTCACGCGAAATGAAAGTCTTCTCAACTGACTTTAATCGTTTCTTGGTTGCTGTGAGTTATGCGGCAATTAAGCCGTTAGTAGCCCAAGCTCCCGGAAGGAGGAGTCGGCGACCCGAGACCGTGTGAAGAAAGAAAAGACATAAAGTACATACGTTGGGAAGGTTTACAGAACCGATGGGTGGTGGGGCGGGAGAGTCCGAGAGTGCAGAAACGAAAGCTTTCAGTTTTGACGTCTGGCTCCGACAATTGTAAGCCGAGCTCTTCTTCTTTCTGGTGCGAACCGGCTACGCAGGCCTTCGAGAGGCGTCTTTTCACACGAAATGGGACTGAAAGTTTGCGTTTATTTCGAGTCTGGAAGAAGGCGTTGATGAAAATTCGAGTCGTACAGAAGAGGCCAGAAAATGGCACGGCGCGGAGTGCGAGGCTGAAGCCCACCGGCGGGCTTGAGGAGAGGCAGAATGCAGCCAAGACGGGGCCATAGCGAAATCGATTCAGTAGGGCGTTCGTCCCGGCTTCTGATTGGCCCCGAACGTTCGGCGGATTGCAGTCGATCCAATGGCAGGTTTAGGCCAGGGCTAGATGGAATCTGATTGGTTGCCATTCGAAGAGCATGAGTCATGTCTGTGAGTGTAGAATTTAGCGTGTCGACCGGTGTTTGCGAGTGCACAAGACACGGAAACTGGTGGGAAAAGGCCTGTCCATTAACGGGGCTACCGAGTGCCCCCTTTATGAATTGGGGCAGATATCATGTCCGTTGTAGTACCGTATTTTCCCATGTATAAGCCACCCCCAATTTTTTGAGTGTGAAGTTTCGAAAAAATATTTTATTAGTGAAACAAGTTGCAAATAAAGGAAAGTTAGAAACAAACAAAATGCAAGACTCATAATAATCGCTCATACACTCATCATCACTGTCTGGTGCATCACATTCCTCGTCTTCTTCAACATCACTGGCATCGAAGTTAGCTGACAGTTCTTCCTCCTCTGCATCATCTTCATCGCCATCTTCATATATCAAGTGATCTTCTGAACTATCAAGAGAATTAAAGATTCCACATTTTCTTACAGGCTTTGACAATGATCTCGATCTTCACACTGTCCCAAGCATTCTTTACCCACCCAGAAACTTCTCCAATTGATGGCTTCTTCCGGCGACCAGTTTTGGTAAGATTGTCTTCTGCTGTCATCATCATCATGTGGTGGTTCCATTCTTCTCGTAGTGCCACCTTAAAAGCCTTATTAATGGAAACATCAAGGAGCTGAAGCTGACAAGTCAGGCCACCTGCAATAACCGCAAGTTGGGTTTTCATAGTTTCGGCAATCTTCTTAACATCCTCAGTCAAGTGTCCCCTGAAGGAAGCGAAGACAAGCAAGGTCGCTTTCTTAAGCAGAGCTCCTGGTCGGCATGCAAATATCTTCTTCAACCAAATTTGCATACCATCAGTATCCATCCAGCCTTTCTCATGCATGTGAAGAAGTATTCCATCGGGAATTTCTTCTTTGGGT